AGGGACTGGCCCTTGGAGAGGGACATCATGTTTGGAAGAGTGGAGGGACTACACAGGAGGGGAAGACCCTTGATGAGGTGGATCAATTCTGTGAGTGGAGTGGTGGAAATGAATGTGTTTGAGACAGTGAAGTTGGCACAGGATAGAATGGCATTTAGACCTCTTGTACATAGGGTCGCTATGAGTCGCAAACTGGATGGCACACAACAACAACAAACAATAGAGAAGAAATCAGTCTGATCTGCAAAAGACTTCGCAATGATCCTTTGTTTTTGTTTTCTACTCCCTTGTGATTATCCTTTGTTTACCTTCCTGATGATTCTCAATAAATATACAGAGATGCATAGCTTGGGTGCTTTAGTCTTGCTTCAGTCATTGGGACTGCTCTCTTATCTATCTCATTCTTGGTTGTCAGTCTCATTATTACTTTACCCCCGGGCTGCAACAGGGAATGAGTGGCATGGTCAAACTTTGTTATTTACTTAAGCAAGTATGTGATCTGGCCAATGTCTGTCAGGTTGGGTTTCCACTGGTACCACCCAGGATCATGGGTAAGGCTGTAGGAGGGAATTGGAGCAAGCAGAAACTAATAGATGAAGCTGGAAACCGTGAAAATGGTAGAATCTTGACCACATAAGGCATTTATTTGGCCTAGTGCACTGTAGGAGAAGATATAATAAAACTGATATGATGAGTTTTGTTTTGTTTTCTTTTATTTTGATGTTGACAGAAAAATTGTAGAAGATGGATGAAATACTAAATTTTCTTTTTTCTCTAGATCAAGAATATCAGCATTAATTTCTCACATTCCTCAGATTTAAAAATTCCACTGATGTCTAGTCAGTTATGACTCATAGCGATTCTCCATTGGGTTTTTTGTTGTTGTTATTGTTGTTACATGCCATCGAGTCACTTGTGACTCATAGCTATCCTATGTACAACATCCCTAAACTCTGCTCTGTCCTGTGCCAATCGCACCTTCTCCAATACACCCATTCCAATTACCCCAGTCACTGAATCAGTCCACCTCATAGGGGGCCTTCCCCTTTAGACTCTAAATAATTATGTGGGGAAACTGCTAAACTTTCTCCTGTAGAACAGCTGGTAGATTTGAACTGCTGACATTTTAGCCAGCACCCTGTATAATCAAGGCTTTCATGACTACCAACTTTGTTTTGTTTCTTCCCCCTCCCCCTCTTCTATTAGGGAAACTTGATCAAACAGAGAAATGAGAACAAGGAGAGAATGAATAAACTGATTTTTTTTAATGTCCTTTCTCTGAGATCCCATGATCCTTGAAAAGAGCCTACAGTGTTTGGAGGAGAGTCACCATCCTCGTATAATGAAGTAACAATCTAGAACCAACCAAACAATGAAAGAAAAGGATATGGGATTATTCAGTCCAATAAAGAAAAAACCCCAGATGCTTAGCTTGGTTAACGTTTTAATTTATAAAGGGCTAACAGGTTAACAAGAGGATACAAACTTCTCTTTAGAGCCTGTAAGAATCGATATAATGTCCCTCCTACCTACCTCTCTAATATTGTCTCCTACAATCTTCCTTTTATGTTCCATGCTTCAGTTGTCTTCTTCCTATAGGCACATTTAAGCTACTCCTTGTGTTCGTAATTACTTTCTTCCAGATCATTGCATAGCTAGCTCTTCTTGTCATTTAGGTCTCAATTAAAATGTTATCTTCTTAGCAAGATCTCTTTTCTGGATTGCTTAATCAGTTTCCTGGACCAAAATCTCAGTCACAATCACATCACCCCCTTTCTCTATTTCTATGTCATTTATGACTTTGAGAAATTACCTCATTGTTTTGCTTACTTTCTTATTCATTGTCTATGTCCTTTCATTGGAAGATAAATCCATTGGAGCATGAAGTTTATCCTGTTGCCACTCAGTCTTCTCACTCTAGAAAAGCACTTGCTCATAGTAATCAACCAGTTGTGTAGTTGACTCATGGCATCACCATGTGTTACGGTTGAACTGTGCTCCGCATGGGTTTTGATGTGTGGTATTTTTAGAAGTCATCCAGTTTTTCTTCATGAGGACCTCTGGGTGGACTCAAACCTCAAACTTTTCTGTTTGTAGTAAGACACTCCTGTTCATAGCTTTGCACGTGAATACATGTCAGAGTTGAACTGTCTCTTAGGGATTTCTTGGCCGAGTAAGGCCGTCCTCTTTATGGAACAGCTTGCCACTTCAGTGGTAAAGAGAATCACAAGGCAGAAAAGGGAGAAGTTTGATGATATTATGGGTATTGTATTTAATGTTATTGTGCATAACGTACATGGTGGGGGGAAGACCCAATTTGCCTTGTAAACTTTCACCTCAAATAATTATAAAATAAAAATGAAGACGTTTTCATTTTTCTTTTTATTTTAAAATGAAAATGGAATTTTGAAACTTCTTCTCAGGAAAATGTAACCCTATCATTTGAAGATAAGGATACCATGTCCTAAGATTTAATATAAAAATGTAAAATATCATGACACAGGTAATATTGTAACAAACCATTTACCGTTACAAACTTCTTCTCATGCACTATCATATTTTAAGATCTACCAAATCATATCTGTAGTGAGTATTGATGCTTTTCAGACAGACTTTCTTGGCTCTAATGTATTCTTTGAATATTCTGTTCAAGGACGATGACTTAGAAACAGATGTGAACAGACTAAGTTGCAAACCTGGCCTTGACCGACCTGAAGGGGAGCTGGAACAGTATGAGGCGATGTGTCCTGAGCTCTCCTGTAGCTTTCAGGTGGGACATATGCTGTAGTTCTGCTTCATGGTGATGCATGATGGGTGCTTTGCAGAGCTTGGGAAAGGTATCCAGATGGAGAGCATTGCTATCATTACCAATCTGCTCCAGGAACCTTCCAGGGGGGAAAGCAGAAGGCTAAGCAAAAATGGGAAAACTGTGTACCTTCTAAGTTTTATGTCAGGAACTTTTCAGTTGAACATTGTACACCTAGGAGGAAAGCGCTTTGCTACCTGAGTGCATGCAAGTGAAGATTGTTGATGAATTTATTTTCTTCTTATCCCTGTGGAAATGTTTTCCTGGAAGATTTTCTGAAGGTAGCCATCTTATCCAAATCTGTCTTTATTTGTAGGAAAACTTAGACCTGGTGTCCTATTTCAGTACTCCCCTTCCACTGCAGGTGGTAATGATAACACTGTCTTCAAGCTTTTTGATGTCTATTATTTTCTTATGGCTCTTAATAAATCATGAACTTGGACACACAGAATGGCTAAATAATATGTAAAAGGTAGTTAACTTGTCCCATATCACTCCAGAAAGCAGAAGGGGACCAGTGGGTAAGATTTTGTTGCTGTTTTATTTTTAATTAATTTTAATAAAAGTTTACAGAGACTTTGGATTTCCATTCATTCATTGTTACACTTTTCTCCCTGCCGACCCCTACCCCCAATGCGCTTTTCTCTTTGAAAAGTAAAAGAAAAATTCTTTCATTATTATACAATCCCTCACCCCAAGTCCACTCCACTGTGCAGCCTTCATTCTGGACTCCTATCATGGCAATAATACCTAATCACATATACCTTTTAAACAGTTCTCTCCCTCATCTGTTTTGTTGCAGTATACATTGTTTATCCCTTTCTCAGTCTTCCCTCAACCCCAATGTCAGTCCCGTTTTACAAGTTGCCCTATGCAATATTTATCCTTTTGTGACAGAGATATTTCACTAAGATTCTGTAAAAAAATATAATATTATGTGGAGTTTCATTTTTAAAATTAGAGTGAATATAATGATCCTTAAGTAAAAGGCACTCTCTCAGAATGGAATGAAAAGTACCCTCTTGTTTATAGCCAGACCTCCATAATTAAGGATGCCAAACTAGCCTAGAATTTTGTGGAACATACACAGTGTTATGAGTATTTGTGTACTACATGTCCCACCCAAAGCCTTTTCTAAATGTTAATTTCTATTGTTCCACTATTTATTTGATTCTTAAAGCCTAATCTTGCTTGAGTGGCTTTAAGAACAGTTTCTCTATGTACAGGGTATATGCTTGATTGTAGGCCCAGAGACTGAGAAGAGAGATCAAATCACATTATCTACCTAGAAAGAAACTCAGACATTTTCTTTTCCACTTTAAACCTGAAGGAACTTGAAGATGACTTGCAGTTTGAAGAGACTCTGTGTGCCAATCACCACCACATTCCTACAGTTGCCTCCTCAAAGCAGCCTTGCTTGGATAAGGACCAAAGCCACCGGGGACTTGAAAGAGAAGACATTGTCCAGATTTCCCTTCTGAACATGGTGAAGACTGGGAGGTCCACTGTGCATCTAACTTCTAAAAAATACCCTGTAATAAAAACTTACCAAAATGTCTCATCCAATGGTCTTCGGATAGATTCTTCTGGAAGTGAAATCCCTAACATTCAGGCTTCCCTCAAGGATCCAGCTTGGGACATAGATGCAATTTCCTGTCCAAAGATGAGTACCTCCCCAGGCAATCCTACTCTGACTAGAGACAGTGTTGAAGTAATAGAAGAGCTTCTGAAAATACATCCCAAAGATGTCCCGTTCCATGATCCCGAACTCTATATGGCTAAAGCCAGAAGAACTAAATCTGTGGCAGACTTCAAGATGGTGGCATTTCCTGATCTCTGGGGACACAGCCCACCTCTCTCTAGCCAGTCTGTGTTGGAACGCAAATGTGGAGTTCAGAGGTAATGATCAACTTATCAACTTGGGATACTTTCTTCTTCTCGTCTTTAATATTATTGCAGGAAGAATGAGTTGTACACAGAGTGGGCTATCTCTGAGAAGGTAAGCATCATCCAGGGTCATAGTAAGGCCTCCCTGGGAAGCTTTAATAAATGCACGAGTTGCCTTCCTACTACAGCATTTCAGAATAAACTGTGGCATAGTGGCAAGCATATGTCCTGGCAGTAATCCTTTAGATGGTTTTAATGAACCCCTTGGCCCATACCCATTGCAAACCACTGCTGTAGGGGAAAAAAAGCATAAAAGAACAAACCAGGCCAGTTTCTTCAGGTATTTGAATCACGTTTCAAAGGAAAATCCTCAGTAAAATCAGTAATTTATTATGTGGGATCTCTTCCGCTGTTCACTCTAAAGTGGTGTCTGACCTCTTGCTAATACAGAGATGGGTGGAGTAACATCATCCCCAGTTGCAACCTTACAGACCTTGGCTTGGCTTGAAGAATGGTTTTTTCCACATCACTGCAAAGGGGCTGGAAAAGACACGTTCTCCAGGGCAGAAACACTAGGTGATTGATGGCTTATTCCCAGCACACAGGAAAGGGAGCTTTGCCTTTGGCTCAGTATAGTGAGATGGAAATGAAAACTGAGGAAGCCAAGGAAAAAATGATCATGCATATGCTAAGTCAGTGGAGCAAGGGTGCAGACAAGAACATTTCATTAACTGCTTTTTACCTGCCTCTAACATTTGTTCTCCCAGTTGGGTTTCTGGATTCCTTCTCTGTCTCTACCCTCTGGACCTGTCATACTCAAATCACTGAGAGATATGACACGGGGGCTGGGCCAGCACCATCTTATTTCTGGGTAGAGCTTCAGGCTGCTCAGTTCAGGCTTCCTTTTCTCCCATTCCCCCTGATGAACTGAATTGGGAAGTCAAAGAGGAAGTCTGAGAGTTCCTTTTTCCTTAACTTTCTTGGATACCAGTGTTTCTCAAATTTATATAAGATTCATTTTCTAAAGGAGACAGAGCTCAAGTAATTGCAGTAACAAAAGAGTTTAAAGCCTTTTAAAAAAACCCCTTCTCATATTTTGAGGACATTAACAGTCTCTAGTCCCAAAGTCTCCCTTTGATGGTCTCATAGCAAAGAGTTCTATTTATTATTCATACAATCCAAAACCTGCCAGGGTGTCTTAGAGTAAATACTCTGCAGAGTTCTCTAAGCCAGAACTGCCCTGGCCAAAATCTAATATAGCTGCTGTCAATATCATTAATGCCCAGTATAGTTTTATTTCTTGAGGGGAGAATTTCAACTCAAGTTTGGACTTTAAATTTTTCTCTTCATTTTGTGGTTCTCTGATAATTTCCAAAGGCCTTCTCAGATGACTCATAGCTTAATGAGATAAGGGACTACCCTTAAAATATTCTCCATTTCCCTTTTTAGGATCAAGATATTTGAGGATGTTCAGAGGCTTCTCCAGCCAAATGAAATCATCAACAAAGTTGTCTTCAGTTTGGATGAGCCTGAGTAGGTGATCTTTTGCTTCAACTGTTCATGGCCTGAAAATAGGAGCTTTTCATGGTAGTAACCCATTTCTAGTCCTCAAAGCAGCAAGTTGAAATTCAAGTTAAAGATCTGTCAGAAACAAGTTATTTCCAACAAATGTAAGTGACAGAGAAAAGCAATAATGCACATTTTTACATATTCTCTGTTTCGTCATAGGTCTTTGGAAGACTTTAGTGCTTCTCATTGCTTGAGATTCTTCTCTAAATTTGAGTCAGGAAATCTTCGCAAAGCCATCCAAGTACGAGAGTAAGTAAAGAAAATGCTTGGGGCAGTTCCTGCAAGATCACAAGAGCAGGTCATGGGAATCTCTTCCTCACTTTCATGTCAGTGGCTTCCAAGGGTAGCTTGAAATTGGTCACAGCAAACACAACCAATCATAGCTTTCTTCCAGAGAAAGCCAGTTACTAAGCGTTTACCTACACAGCACTAGAAGATTCCTTGTTGTTGTTGTTGTT